GACACGGTAGAATCTAAGATGGCAATAACCTGCCCTGCCGCGGTCGTAATGAAGTGGAGTAAACGTAATAAGAGGAAAAGACAATAAAAAACTAAAGGTCGGTTATGGCGGCGCCCGTGCACAGCTGCTGCAAAGCGTCTGTGAATCTGCCTCGTTCTTTATTGCTATTTAGGCTGCATCTTTTTTTAGTTGCGCGAAATATTTTCTGTGCGCTACACATTGCGACCGGATTGGAGATGTGCAACGACGTTTTTGCCCGTATAAATTTTCATCGCTCCCACGAATATTTTTTTTTAATATGAGAAAAATTTTACCTTAATTTAATCCTCCGCAAATCACTAAGGAGCGCCAATTACGGATGGCAAGCTCTTTGTAAAAGACTCTGCATGGGTTCTTTATGAAGAATTTAAGGCCTTTCCGTTCACCTTTCGTGTATGGTGTCAATATAAACTCGGCACGTAGTTTTTATTTATTTATTTATTTTCCTTTACATACAGAAACCCAAGACGCTCGCCTATGAACAACATATATATCGGTACCTTAGTTAACTCATTATTAAATGTTTTCTCCCCCACTAGATATTCACGTTTCACGAACTTCGTTAGTAACCTTGGCCCTTTTCTCTCCTTTCTGCGGCATACTCTTTCCTGTGTTCCCTGTTTGCTCATCCTTCATTTTCTGTTTCTTTCACGCGACTTCTACCCGAGTGCGTTTTGTTGGCATCTCGGTGCATGCAAAGGCTGGTTCCCACACTTGGCGACTGCCCATACGACCGGGCAGTCGGTCGTAAGCGTCCACAAGAGGCCGGTACTCCGATCGAAAGCGCAGTCGCAAGTGTTGTGCACCAGCCTTTAGTGGTGCACCAGCCTTTAGTGGTGCACCAGCCTTTAGTGGGCGTCGTGCACCAGCCATCGTGCATGAAAGAAGCACTCCTCGGGCAGACTGTCTTTTGTACGACGTACTAGCGGCGCAACCGCGGCTTAAAGGCTGTTTGGATGCGAGGCGGAATTCCCGAATAAATTAATTAAATAGGAGGATTTTTTGTGAGTTGGCTGATTCCGACATGAGATACGCGCACAAAAAATCTATTATTCGTGTGTGTGTGTGTGTGTGTGTGTTTAAGTTTAGACGCGGCCGACGCTATCCAAGCTGGGGCCCTAATCTGGACACTTGGCGAAAAAGTCGGCGAGAAATCCCGCGGCTCTGATTGGCCGGCGCCAAGGTCAAGTATGGCGTCCGCCTATCACGGCCGCCAGATTTCTCGCCGAGTTTCTCGCCTAGTGTCCAGATTAGGGCCCCTGATTGGAGAAATCAGACAGCGTCAAGGTGCGCACCACCACGGTCGTTGTTTCTGTATGTGCTCCGTCATCGCTGAACCCGTCGTAAACCGAAAAAGCCTATATAGTGACTCGCGCTTTTGTCGCCGTTTGATTGGTCCCATTGGCTCGTAGCGTCGGCTCTGGACTTAAAGACCGACGACCAGTTTGAGCTTTCCACTTTTTCCCCTTCCTCCTCTCCCCCCTTCTACCCTATCCACCGTTGCCTGTTTCCTCTTCCCCCATAATCAGGAGGATCTTCTGCCTTGCAGAATCTCGAGACTTGTCATCGGCCTTTAAGCTGAAACGAAGTGTATATAGCACTGCGTTTGGATCGTGCATATGAGTCGTCACAGAAATAGTTTTGGTTCAATTATGTGTTTCATTGAGTCACGTGACGGAAGTTGATTCGGCAGCGTCTCTGGTCAGTAGCCGCGGATACATGGATGCGACCGTAGCGCGTCGAATCGACTTATGACGACTGTGATTGGGTAGAACAGGGGTTCTCTAGCATGAATGTGTCGGGTCCCCTGTGGGGCCACCATAGGGATGAGGGACCTTGTGCCAGCGGGGGAAGGGCGAGACAAATTGCAGTGTGAAAAGGACATCGTTTACGGTTATAGACAGAAGAAGTGAGAAACATAAAGTAAAAGGTTGAATGGATGGGTAGATGGTAACGGCTGTGTTCTTTATAACGGGCGGTAGCTTGCGCCACCTAACCAGAGTCAACAAAAAACTTTTATTTATTTTTTTTTCGTGAGAAAAAAAAAAAAGGGGGGGGGGGGAGGGGGGGGGGGGGGGGTAAGACAAGGGCTTCGCGGACCTCAATAATGGCTTCGCAGAGCCAGACGGATCCGCGGAACCGCATCTGAGAACCACTGGTGTAGAAGATAAAGAAGCAGAGGGACTGGACGCGTGTGATGGGTTCCCTGTCGATTCGATGCGCTACTGTCGCATCCATGTAAAGGCAGCCACTGACAATTTAAGAAACGCAGAACGTGGAGAGTCTCTAGCACCTTTTGATCGTTCCGCAGTCATCGATACATTAGCCGATTAGAAGGACGATGAACCGAAGCAAGAAACACGAATATATTAAGTCAAACGCTGCGTTTCTTAAATTGTCGGTCACAACAGGATCTACACGATCACATTAACGTGTCATTTGCTCTAGAACGTTTACGGTCACTATCAGCTTAAAAAACGCAGTGCGCGAGTTATTAGCTTCACGCACCTCGTTTTTCCGCGGTTCTTAGACTCTCAGTGATCATGACAACCAAGTTGCTATAAAGAAGACATCCGACACCACAGTATACAGTGTTTGCATATTTGTTGGACTCATGTTCAGGAACGCAACAAAAATTAAAACAGCCTTTCCACTTTTTTGAAGAAGGAAGACCAGCGAAGCTGTACTATGGTGGGAATGAAGTAAAGGCCGTCCGCAGGTCGGCAAGGTTGCCGCCATCTATGAGCGACGGCGGTTAGCAGACAACCGGCAAACACAACACTCTGGACAGCTACAGCCATCTATGAGCGACGGCGGCAACCAGAGTATTGTGTCGACATTCGTTTGGCACCGGACACGATCCTGGGGAACCTAGCCCTTAACAGCTCCGCTGTAAAAAAGTGATGAGGCAGGAACTGCGAGCAGCGCATCGGGGTCTAGAACAAACTCCAAAGCGGCGAGTCACTAAAGCTCTGGATGTCAGCAGCACCATCCACGGTATCGTTCGGTCACTGCTGCGGCTTCGTTTGGGCAATCCCGACGAGGCCGTTGAGGCGCGGCCGATGGGAGTGTCGGTTCTGTCCAACACCGTTGCACGCCGAGGGAAGAGAGAAGAAGGAGAGGGAGGGTGGGAGGAAGAGAGGGAAGGAGGAGGGGAGAGAGTAGGTGAGGTGGTGCTGCGGACGTGCGCAAGGATGTCGTTTAATAAAGTAGAGCGATGTCTATTTATTTACTTTAGCTACGAGAAACCACTGTCTGACCTTAGAACCGAGGGTCCTACGAATGCACGTGGGTCCCATTGTGTCCTCTTCTTTCTATCCACACACTGGCGAGAGCCGGTAAAAAAATTTCTAGTCACGGCAGCAGGTTGGGCACTGATCCATATATGTACTGTCGCGTACAATACGAGCAGAAAGAACCCTTCATGCTTTTTTGGCGTACCTGCCAGTTTTTTTGTGTGTTTTTTTTAGGAAGTTGTGGTTTGAACTAGGAATGAAATGCGAACTTAAGGTCTCATACTTTGGACTTTCTGACAATTTAAGAAATAATATATCTGGTAGCGACCGCAGACGCAGGAAGAGGCGGAATCGGCTCTTTCTGCAGCCCGTATTGTTCGCGGGTGTACGTAGTCGGTAAGTAGCACTCACTAAGCGACATCCCATTTGCTGGCAATTGGTTTGCTATTGTTCTTACAGAATGACGAAGCAATTTCGTAGGTTGCGCCGGAATAATAAAAAAATCTAGACTAATTACGTTTTCTTTTTTTTTAAGTCAACAGTTACCACAGAGAGACTCGATCAAGAAGACGTTCGCAGAGTTTCTTTCCAAAATTTGTGTATTGGCCCTGGATATGGTCCGCAGGCAAGTGTAGACATATTTCCAAGTGAAAGTGTTGCGGCAGCGTTTGTTGTGCTCGTTGAAAGGATGTGAGAGGGCACAACCCGATGCTTACAACAACAAAAACGAGACACGTAAAGAACGTGCAGAAACTGATCTGAATAACAAAAAAAAGGCCTCCTATAGATCATTTTCGTGTGACAGTTGCCATATTGAAGTAGTTGGGTTGGGCGAAAGAAAAGTAGAGTCAAGAAAAAAAAGTAGAACTATTGTCACGAATCCTTTGAATTCTAGCTTTTTCCAATCGTCAAATAAATTGATTTGCTATTTTTCCCCAACTCAGCTACGCCAGAATTCAACATGGTGGCCGTCACGAAAAAAAAAAAAAAAAAAAATGGTGTCAATGATTTTAGGCAATCATGCCCTTTCCCGGACTGAGCCCCGATTAAAACCTTGCGCAGGCTCTCCACCTCTTCTCGGAGGTGTCACAGAAAGTTGTCCCTGATTATAGAATCCTCAAGGGCGAATCACACACTCGCGTCGAGTGCGACTGAGTACAACTGCAACGGCTTGCAACGCACGGGTTGCTATGGCAACAGCTGCGTCTGCTCCAACGAAACCGGTTTTCACCGCGTTTTGGTGGAGCCTACGCAGCTGTTGCCATAGCAACCCGTACGTTACAAGCTGTTGCAGTTGCCTTCAGTCGCATTCGACGCCAGTGTGTGAACCAGCCTTCAGAAGGGACCCCGAACAGGTCCCGAAAAAGTCGAATCACTTAGACTCACCGAATACGTCAGAAACGTAGTGTATCAAGTTATGATGCTCACGTTGTTTCGCGGTTAACGCTCATAAGACCCCGTCAGGAGATTTTAGTCACCTTCTTTACCAACCGCCTTGACACCTGTGTCAAAATAAGGTGCGCCAATGAATCAACTACTCAAGAACGCCGAGAGACGACTGACTCTGGAGCAATATTAAGAAGCTCGGAATTGGGCACGCCTTGCATTTCTGAAGTTGTCGGTTATCTAAATGTCGGCGTCTAACCTTGGGCGTCTCCAGGAGGTCACTCTCCGAGACGACGACAGAGCGCATACACGGCGACGGAATACCTTCATCATACTGACCAGAGAGGTTGACCAGGCGAGGTAGAAACTGTTGCCAGAAGGCACAATAGTTTGCCCTGTGGCCGTAGCCCACGAGGCTGGAGTTGACGGCCAGTGTGAGGTACTCCTTGCCGTAGGCCGTGTGCACGGGCCAGTAGATGCGCTCCCAGTGGCCCTCGTCGGACAGGCTGGGATTCCTGGAAGCGGGGAGATGAAGGCACGTCATCGGGATGCATGGTTCACCCTGAAAGGCCCTTCGTGGGGCATGCGCATCTAATTTCTCGCAGATAACCGGAAGAGCCAACATGCAGATTGCATTGACTTTGCATCAACCTTCGTGTTTGTGGCCTGCTGCTGAGAGCGTATCACTTCTACGGCACATATTTTTGCAACTCCGAATTCGCTTCTGTCGGCAAGAACAAGCAGCAATGACCACCAGCGTCGAACGATGACGTCACGTACAAACCATGTGCAAGGTGTCCCCTCCCCCCCTCCAAAAAACAAACAAACATGCACAGGATTTGGAACAATGACGTCATATGCAAGCCATGTACGGGGTGTTCACCCCCAAAACATACACAGGGTTTTGTTCACCGCAAAAAGAACCTACGCATCACCGAAGGCTTGTTCTCCGCCCAAATGTAGAACTAGCGGTCTGAACCAGGTGCTGAAGTTTCAGAACCAACCGTTATATTATTCAAAAGTGATTTTCTGTAATTTTCAATGTGAAAATGGCGGACGACGGAGCTCTCGAATACATGGAGCTGAATGGAGCCAGTTACCGAAAACACGCAAAAATGGGCCCTTTTTTTTTTTCATTGATATTTGTTTTTAAATAATTTGTAACTTTTGATTGAGATAACGGTTAGTTCTCAAATTTTGATATGTTGTTCTACCGCTAGCGCTGCATTTTGGGCGAAGCATGAGCGTTCGTTAATTCGATGCGTTGTTTTGTTGTTGTTGTTGTTGTCTTTTGCGATAAAAAAAACGCACACACACACACCATACATTGGGGGGGGGGGGGGGGGGGGGGCGCAGTGTAGCTGGTGTCTGCAAGAGCACTCACCAGGCCGAGAAAGTGCTTTGATTGAAAAAGCATGCCACGTGATAATGAGTTCACAGGCTCGTGTCGCGCTCAGTACCACCTCCCAGACATCCGTTCATACCGAGTGAGCTTGGCCAATGGGTGGAGCTTGTAACCAAGCTTGTAACGGTACTCCTTCCAGGCAATTAAATTACTTATATTCGATTATGTTTTAGTAATTTTGTACTAATTTTATTCAGGTTGTTAGGAAGCCATCGTAAGATTGACATAATTGCTTTTGGAGGTACTAAAATTTCTCGTAATTGTTACTGTTTTTTCTTCCTCTTCCCAATGGTGCACTTTGATTTTAGAAGTTTCCCATTGAGGAATTTTCGAACCCGGCACTTGTTCCCCACGAATCCCTAAGCGAAGTTTCTCCCGGTTTCTCAACTCACTTTTTAACAGCGGGAAACAGTTGTTCGTGCGGAATAGAGCAGAAAACACCTTCTCCATCAACGGAGAAAGCAGAACTGTACCCGATTCCCCTTTCCCTCGCATGTTCTGCGATTTCTTGAGAATGTTTTACGCCCACGGCTTCCTGGCCTACCCATCATTTCTGGCTACAGACACTTCAGCTATAAGCGACCCCACCAAAGTAATAGTTGACGTTTGAACAATGCAGTCGCACCTTCCAGGCATTCCCCATGTTTCTCGTTTCAATCGCTAGATAGCGCTAAACCAAACAGCATTGCAGGTTGCCTATGCAAGCGACTCTGCTCCCACGATTTAATGTTTAGCCCAGAACGTGCTTTCGGCCTCGGCGTTCGCCAACCTTCCACCGTAGATCGAAAGGCTCGGCTTTCTGAGCGCTCTCCAGCGAAGTAACACAGTGGAACTTTATAGGCAGCATAATGTAAGGAATGATGCATTTTTAACTATACTTTATCGTGAAGGCTGAAGTGTTTTTCCGGTAATCAACAACGCGCAATATTTCATTTTCATCCTACGATTACTCGAAAGCTCGCGCTGCAGAACCCAGGGATCCTGGGTTCAATCCCCACCCCTGCCCGCTTCGATTTGGATGAGCGTCGTACCGGCGTGCGGTCGTGTACCACTACTGCGGGATGCACGTTAAAGACCCCAGGCTATCGGTTGGACAGCTCTGGTTAAATTTTTCATCTACAGCTGGGAGACAAGTCGCCCGTTGAGGCAGACTAAGTTCTAGGCTGTATAAACATACACACACCTCAATTCTTCTTCCTACGATTACAATCTATTGGCGACGTGAGCGAACGAAAGCGTCGCTGTTGTCGGCCCATCACAATTGGCCAAAACCTGACTATGAAGTCAGCAAAGGATGTCTCATCGACGGAAATAAGAGGAATGTAAGAACTTAAATTTTGATGGTGTTAGCAGTGTTGCTTTGAGAGCGCTATGATTTCAGGCTTCCACCATGCCCATTACAAACACCATCGAACTTGTTGTTCACAAGGTAATGACGTCACGAAAGGTAACCGAACGAGGGCGCCACCGAAACATCTCGCCGCTAATAAAGCCTCGATATTAAGCCATCTTGATTTGACCGATTGATGAATGCATCATAAATGTCAATGTGTTACTGAAACGTGCGCTGTTGTCGTACACAAGGCTGCCATTGTTTTGGTGTCGCCCTTTATGCCAACCTTTTATCTCTTCCTTCGTTCAATAAAGCGAAAAGTATCCGATGAATTTAAAAGAAAACAAAATGATACAGATAAAACTATTCGATGTGTCGCGATGTATCTTCCGTGCGCTCACGGGTCGTAAGTTCGTAACTGTCAAGGTATGTTTCCGTATTGACCGAGCAAATATTTGAAGTTCCAGCGGTGCGATGAACCGCCAGAAACAAGTCGATTGCCACTCATCGACCCAAAAAACGTCGTCGACCTAGAAAGCACTCGAAACAATGTCGAGCTTGGCCACAGTTAATGTGAAATTAATTTTAAGCGCACGTTGTCTTCAAGGGAGGTTCCAAAGAGGTAATCATGCGTCCGTGCTCGCAACCGCCGGCTTTTACACCGTGAGCTTAACTATGTAGAGAATATAACATATCTGTGCGACGACAGTCATCATAGTTCCTTTCTTTCGGGTGGGGGTGAAGGGGGGGGGGGGGGGGGGGGCGGAAGGACGCTCATTTCTGTTTGTTTGTGTGTGTGTGGGGCGGTTCGTGATTCATTACTGAACTTTTCTTATGCTAACTGCAAATAAAGCCATAAAAAACATTTTGATGGGCCAGACTGGCTTTCCCAGAATAGAATAAATGCGGCCAAAAAAGAAAAACCGTTGACCAAGAATTGGCATTGCGACTACCTATAGTTCTGCCTCTGTTGAATTGTTGAGTTTACTAAATGCTGCGAAATCGTCGTCGTTACTTTATTTTAACCCCCCCCCCCCCCAAAAAAAAAAAAAATGAAAACTTGTTTTTTCTTATTATTATGCGGAGAGCAAGTCGTCTGCTTCTTTTGCATGGGTTGTAGTGACGTCAGAACAACGCAGAGCTCTGATTGGCTCCGATTGAAGGGTAGTGGGTAGACCTGAAGGCAGCTTGCTTCGAGGTCTACCCACTATTCCTCAATCGGAGCCAATCAGAGCTCTGCGTTGTTCTGACGTCACTGCAACTCCTGCGCAAGTAGCAGACGACTTGCTCTCCGCGTTGGACGTTATGGCATGGAATCGCCTTCGATTTCCAATGATGGATAGCGGCGCGTACGGCATGCAAAATTTGCCAAGCACAAAACGACTATACGGAGGCGCGTCTTCCCTGGCCGACGACGCACGGAGCAGGAATGGGCAAGCTGCTCCCGGCGTTCCGAATACGGAATTTCGATAGCACATCCCAAACCGCGGCGATCTGTCTGCGTCCCTCCGCTTATCAATCACGCGTGCGGTCGGTCGCAACATTTTCTAACTCGAACGCCCCCGCTCCAGAGAGTGTTTACGAAACGCTGTAACGACGCAAAAAGCTTTCACGTTCTGTATATACGAACAAAGTCTGGGCGCTTGGCAGCGCGTCTTGTAGCGTCTCAATCTGAGACGCTCAGAGACGCTGGATTTTATTGCTCGTTGCATGTCTGCCTGCATATGCCGTGGATGTCTAGTGTTTGTTGCCACACCACAGACGAGAACATTTGCGGCTTTTAGGTTACAGACGTTTCCGCCCCTTTGTTATAACTACACCAGAGACGTGACTTTCTGTTTCTTTTTTTTTTTTAAACGTATTTTACTCGCAGGTGAGGGAGAGGAAGTGGTCGAAGGCGTTCGGTCGACTGGTTTATGAACGAGAGTTATTGATCATTCGCTTCGTGCCCCTAATTATTGTAGTCGCGTACACGTTCTTTGCTACGGGAAGCTATGCTCGTTCGATAGAGGGCGTTGCAATGGTCGACGCCTTCTCTTCTCCTGTTTTTTGCAGCGTTTCCTCTTATCCGTCCACTTGTAATTTCCTAAAAAGAAAAAAACAAATCTGCTATTTTTTTTGCTGTTGTTGTTGGATCGCATGTGCTGTTTGACAAATGTCGCGGGGCCCTCTTCAGTTATTTTCTTGGAGTTATTCTTTCATAATGTTATTTTCGTGTTGAAAGGAACTTTCGCTGCGTTGACAATGCGGCAAATTGTACGGAATGACGTTCCAAGGAACGGCGTTCCTGGAACGCGTTCCTTTTGGGAGGAACAAAGGAACGTCGCCGTTCCATCTTGCATTCATGGAACTGGAACGGGAACGCGTTACATTTTTACGGGAACGGAAGAAGAAACGGCGTTCCCTTTTCTTCGTTCAGTGGAGCCATTTTTATTTTATTTCTGAGAGGGGAATTTGAAAAAAAATATATACAACAATATATTTACGAAGAGCAGGATCTCGTTAAGTTTTTCGTTACTTAGGTTTCTTTTTTTCTTTTTTGTGGGGTTCTCGTTTGTTGACAGTAGGGTTCGGGACAGCTAGTGAGCATAATAATTTGTTTTCAGTGCCCGAGACTGCGGTACAGAAATCAAAACATTTAGTCGAAGGAAAAGACAGAAAAAGGAACGTCTCAAACTCAGCTACTTTCTTTGCTCCCACGAATCCTCATACAACCAGAAATCTAAAGCCGACTGCAGCCATCACTGAACTTCTACAAAGAAACCAGTTACACCAAA